TCATAAAATATAATGCAAAAAAAAACGTGTGAGGCTAAATTAATGAGTCACATGGACGATACGAGTATGACAATGGTGCCTCATGCTCGTTGGTTGATAACGTAGACACCTCTATAAGCCAATCTATGCGAGTCTGATCTTTCTAATATGACAGTGAGTTCTTTATTCAGATTTTATGAATGAAATTTCTAAGAATGACATTGATAAAATAGATCAGTACTATATCATAGTTACCAGTAACATTGAATTTGTTATTTTAATTTTAAAACAGACTTTTCTGGTCACGACAGTCCTTGAAAAGTCTTCCCCTTCTCATAGCTTTGTTACCGTAAAATCTGTATTAGAAGCCGCATCCCTTTTTGAACAATAGAGAACCAAATATTCATCATCTCTCATATGTGTAGATGCTCTAATAGAAGCTGCATCTTCTCTGTTGTGCCATTTTTATAGAAGCTGCGGTTTCTAATACAGATTTTACAACTTATTTGCTATTCTGTGCTTGGTCCCCTCAGGACTGTGTTGAACTGACTGACGCTTAAAAATTAGTGAAGTAGGTTGACGAGCCCAAGTACAATCATGCCCCTATTTTATTTTCAAATGTAATATGCTATAAAAGTTCAAGAACATTTATTGTGCAATGTTTGAATACTGTACACATGTGCGTGAGTGTGTTGAACTTTTGGAATTTGTAGTCATTGTTCTTATAAAGTCTTCATACTGACATTTTGGCAGGTGGACTTTGTACCCAAGACCTGCATTATATATAGCCCAAAAGTCAATGACCAATATTGTGTTTCAGACAGCTCAATGGACAGCATGTCTGTCAGGTTGTATGAGCTAGAACCCAGCTTTTGTCCTAAGCACAATAAAACTTGGTCAGAACCGGTCTAAGCCGGTATAACAAGACACTGATCGACACACACAATTTTTTTGTGATGCAAGTAGTTGACCGACCTCCCCAACAATCAACAATTGAGCTAGTTCAACTTGATTTTGGAGGATTCCATTTTGACAATTCATGATCAAAAACAGAATATTTAGTCCTGCGAATGAGGATTTTGATTTCAGAAACACAACAATGGTTTTAATTCACTACCGATAATATATTTCATATAAGTGCATTCTTGCTGAAAACTTCAATCCAGACATGTATTGTAGCCATCCCATTTCGCATAATATGCCTTAATTTGGTCGCCTAGCAACTAGATCTGTACAAAAAATGTATGATATGTTGTTGTTGAGACCTACATTTATGACGTAAATAGTTTCTTGTTTGTATATCGTACCTGTAACATACCTGGACTAGTTTTTAGAGGGAAATATTTTGACTGGAAAACATGGTCAATTGGCATATCATACAGTAAACTAGATTTATGGTTTGTCTAATGGTGATATAATAGTGAGTATTTCATTTTATATATTATGTATTGAATCAGTGATATAATACGTGATCATATGTCCTATGATGCAAATGTGGTTTGTACAATGTAGATTCCCAAATTAAAAATGCCTAAAATTGAATTTTAAAAGAATGGCAACTGTTTTGTAATTTATATTTTGTTTAGCATCAGTATTACAGCATATTGCCTGTATTTTTAAATAACAATATATGCTGAACAATTTTTTTTAGTATTAGTGTTAGCGATTGTAATAAAAAGTACCCCTCCCCCACCTCAATTTTCTTAGCACAATAGTAGGCTTTTATAGGTGTTCTTGCAGAAATTTTGTTGCATTATTTTGCACCACATGTTAAAAAGTTGTTAGTTTCAATTGGCAATTATTCATTAATGTTCTTGACATGCTTTCTCCATCAAATCAAATGTAATACAGTCGAGAATTATGTCATTGATATCGATTTTTAAATAATATAGTATAACGAAGAAGGGTTAATTTGCTTAGGTACTGTAAATTGTAAAGTGTGATTCTTATGAATTATGAACATACCAACTGCCATTTAATTTAGTGTGCGCATCTCATTATCACCATGGCAACATAATTAGGGATATATCCTCATAATGATATTTGATATTACCTGCATATCCTACAAAATTACCTTGTATCATCGATACATGTAGTTAATAACAAGCTCAAAATTAATGAAATAAGTGAATATATTTATCATAATTTCAGTTGGTGTTTTGAATTGTACTTGAAGATTATCCAAAAATGATTTTATATTGATATTTTTCACACATATTTGATGTAATAATGTCTTAATTCAAGAAAGAGCAGTTCAAGAAATATTAATATATTTGTGGAATTTTGTAGCAGAGAGTTGCAGTGACTTTCAACAACTTTTAGGTCAAACATTGTGTTTACCTATACTTGAACTGGCCTTTGTTTACCTGAGTGGGCAGTGAGCAACAGCCCAGTTTAATGTCATAAACAAGTCACGGAGTGTGAATGTACTTGTTCTAGTTTTCACAGGTGTGAATATTTTCATTTTAGATTAAGTTGATCGGCTACTGATTTCCTGTTTGCAATAAACAAAGTGATGTCTACAGCAGGAAAGTTCTCATCCATGGGACGGGGTTCCAAAAGACAATTTTTTTTTTACACTGAATAAAATCAGTGTAGTGTGTAGTGTGTTAAATTGGTTCTTTGGTCTGCAGAAGTTAGATACCTTGGACCTTTGGAACTCTCCAAACAGTTGTATAGTTCATTGTCATATTGCCTTTTAAGACCAATGTCTAACATTATTACAAAGTTTACATTCACATCAATAGTGTATATGCTCTGTTGGTAAAAACTATAAATGTTTTTGTGTACTACATCCTGCATGCAGTTGTGTTAGAACACTTTAAAATATTGTCATCAGTTTGTAATAGTACATGTAAAAAAATTATTAAAAGAAAGAAAAACAATTGTGTTTATTTCAAGAAATAATAGTTTATTTTTTCAAGAAAAACAAAATTTGAAACAGAAGCATAATTACCGATGTTTTCCTTAGCCTTAGATATATATTTATTTATGTACATATTTGAACCATTTTACTTTGTACAGGATTATGTAAACATAATTATTCATATTCCCTGATAAAATTAAATTCATGTGAATATGTAGAATTATTTCACGCATTATTTCACTGACAAATTTTAAACTCCGTGAATATGCTGAGAATGTCGAAGTACTGAAATAAATCAATTTAAAAAAATCACAGCCTTTTTTACGTTTGACAATAAAAAAAAAATGTTGTTTGTTTGTTTGTGGATTTACTAATTTTCTTTCTCTAAATTTGTTTCTTTTAGGTGATAATTTTAAAATAGTATCCGTTTTGATCACCACCTGTTCAACATGTCAGATATCCCGGAGGATATTAGAAGGCAAATTTATTTCGATGCCAGATTCACAGTTCAAAATGAGATTGAAAACTATTTGGACAATCCGATTGGGAGGAATTGGAAGTATCTTGCATGTGAAATTGGTCTTGAATCCCGGGAAATTGAGGTTAGATGTTTTTTTTTTTTTTTGTATATTGAAATATAGCTTGATTGAATTAATTATATTACCCACTGATTGAAGATGGAAACTACTGTAAAACATGTTGAAAAAGCGACATGTAATTTTAGCGAATTGGGGTAAAATGACGTACCGGTAATAGCGAAATGTTGACTTAGCGAAACTCTCAAGTGTAATTAGGAAGCGCTCCAGATTTTTATGTTCCGCATTACTGTATATAAATCCTTGACTATTTTGAATTTATAATAAAGTCATTAGCAACATCTTGAATTAGCGAATCACTTTTCTCGCTAAATTCGCAAAAAAGACATGTTTTACAGTATGTCAAGTGGTGACTGGGAAATCTTAAATCTATTTTATTTGATACAAGTTTATTTTATGTCATTTGAATATCTAAGATCATTATATTTTTTATGATTCTGCTTGAGTTTGTGTTATGATGAAGATAATTCAGTGTATTACATGTAATCTAAGTATTCTAACAATATAGGGGGGGGACTGCCTTCAGTGACATGGTTAGAGGAAAAAGTTGTTTGCTCCTGTTGGATGAAATCTGACAGTTGTCAACACTTATATAAATATATACAAAAATTTGCATTAACAAATTTGACAGGAAACAAAGAAAATGTATGCTACCTGCAGTACCTTTAGAAATGCTTTTTATAACAAATGTACATGTATCACCAGCTTATAGAAATGAACATTAATGTTTATTTTCACAATCATATTACACCAGGTTTCATGAAGGCGTGATCTTGTTTTAGGGACATTTATATAAAACATTTATCCCAAAAGATCCATGTTTGATTCAGATTAAAAAAAAATGCTTTCATTGGCTGTAGAAATCTTTTGGTAATTACCCATGAATCTTTGCAGGGTGTATTCAATCATAGGCCAATTGATAGTGCAACAGAACCAAATTTGCTTAAAATGTTTGAAATTACAGTGATTTGTTTTCTGAAATAAATTTAAAAGATGGGAAGCACAAGTGGCATTATTATCATTTGGCACAGAAAATTAAATGGCAAAAGCGAGTCAGTTTCAAAGGAGAGGTCAAAGGGTAACTGAGGTCAAAGGTTAATGTGGTATATTCATTCACTAGCTGTTTTCAGTCGCAATTTGAAATTTATACACATTCATAAATATTTTATGTAAAACAAATTCATGCCTTCATGAAACCTAGTGTGACTTACAGATAAGAAAAATAAGTGTATAAAAGACACAATATTAAAGTGAAAAAAAAAAGTATACAGTATTTACAATCTTTTATTTATGTCGTTCATAGAATATTGAAGCACGGCCAAGTCCTGCAAAACAGGTTTTGATTAGGTATAAGCAAATGCAGCCACGAGCCACGCTTCAAGATTTCATCAATATTGCTGTAAAAATGCAGAGAATGGACATTGTACGTTTGATTGAGGAAGCAGCAAAAGGTATGTTTGTTTGGTGTTTGTTTGTTTTTTCAATATCAGTTTGAATTTTATGTTGTATGCACCAGTTTTCTTGAAAGAAGCTTTCAAGTTAGACTATAAACCATCAGTTCAAAAGTGTTTGTTAAAACCTAAAATTATTTCCTATTTTTTTTTAGATGGTGAATTGTATCAGTGGCAGAGACAAGATAGGCCCAGGAATGGCGAGGAATGCTCCTATACCAGCTCTAGTCAAAGAACTACCACACCTGGGACATGGGATTGTCCTAATATGTCACGTCGAACACGTGGACAACCCGGAAAAACATTGCCTTCTAAGATTTGTAGTTGTGCTGCACCGATGAGCCCATCTGAAACTTGCAATCAAAAACAGGGCTACTGCAATGCAAGTCGGTGGCAGAACACTTCTCGTCAAAATCCTCTAACAGTAGAACAAATAGAACTTCAACATGTATCACATTACCAGCAGCGGCCAGCTGTTACAGATGGGCCACACACGCTTGTGAGTGTCGATATCACACAAGGCTCGTCTCCCAATACATGTTGGGTCAGGCAAAATGACTATAATAACAATGTCCCTGAGACCAGAGAGTCTCGCTCACCGTCTGTTGGATCATCCGAATCAATGCCCGATGAAACCCAAATGTGCCATTACAAAAATTCTGTTCCCAAAGAATTGCCACGAAGTCAGTCTGTTCCCGGTGTCCATGATGAACCTGTAATGCAAGGGGCAGCATGTAACATGCTGCCTGGGAGGACTTGGCCCAGAGGACAGGGACCAAACAGAGCAAAGATACAAGAAAGACCTACTGTACTAACTAACTCTCAAGATTGTCCAAAAAGCTGGCCTCAACAGACAGCTTCAAGACGTCAAATTGAGCCACACAGGGAGCCGCCACCATCTTCTTATAAACCACCTAAAAACGCATTCGTCCAAGGTAAATTTGAATTAAAGTTGACAGTTTTTATCAATCAAATTATAACTTTATTGTTCTAAAAATTATTATTTTTAGTTCCGCTGTTGACTTTGTTGTGCGGAGCTAATCATATTACTGATTGTCTGTCGTCGTCTGTCAGCACCCGTCGGCGTCCGCATCAACCTTTTAGCTCCGATGTTGACTTTGTCGAGCTGAGCTAATCATGTTACTGATTGTCTGTTGTTGATGTCCTCCCCAACTTTTTCGACTTCTTCTTAAAAACCGCAAGTCTGATTGCTTTGATACTTGTATATGTACTTTAGGTAGACCTTTCTTGGATTTGTTCATTTCGTGCTGATTTCTTTAATTCTCTAGTTTTTATGAATATTTTTGTCGTTCTTGGTAAAAAGTGATATTTTCGACTTCTTGTTGAAAAATGCAAGTCTGATTGCTTTATTGACTCCTGTGTGTAAAGCACACAATGGGAGTCTTTGCAGTTAAGCCTATCTGTATGTATGTATGTATGTATGTGTGTGTGTGTGTGTGTGTGTGTGTGTGTGTGTGTGTGTGTCCGTCTCTTCCACGGATATCTCAAGAACCCTATGTTAGTTTTTGATAAAACTTGATGCTTAGATGCTCTGGGCTGGGTTCTGGCTAAAATCTGTGCTTATTATTTACCTAATTTGCATGATAATTAACTGATTACTGATATCTAAAGAACCACTCATTGGATTTTGATGAAACTTGGTACATAAATACTTTGACAATGCGCAGACCTAATTAGTTTTTAATCAATTTTTTACTTTTCTACTGATATCTCAAGTACTAATCACATTACAATGAAACTTGGTACATAGATGTCATAAGGCAATGCAGAGATCTGATAATTTTTGGATTAATATCCATGCATATTAATTAAATAATTTGCATAATTAGTAAATTTTGTGGTCTTTTCGCTGATGTTTCAATTTGCACATTTTAGGCTTTTTCATTTGTTTCTCAAGTACCATTCAACAGATTTTGATGAAACGTGGTACATAGATACCCTGGGATAATGTGCAAACCTGATTAGTTTGGGGTTGAATTCAATTTGATACAGCTACTGTTGCTGATAGGGACATGCAACTGGTGCTATAATTTTGTCTGACAAGATATATAACCATTTGATCTAATAGAAGCATGTGTGCTAAATTCATACCTCCAATACCTTCAGCACAGGAAAGTTCTTTCTAAATTTTTTTTTGATATTTGTATATGTAAGAACCTTGTGTGTTTTTGTCTAAGATTTGTTCAGATTGCTTGTGAAATTTTCATTGCTAACAGCGGAGCTATCCGAACCGAGAGGCTGCTTGTTACTTTCTCTTAATATTGGTATGCCTTTTAAAGTCAATGATATGCACTTTCCTTAATTGTCATTACAGTAGTGTGCATAAAGGTGTATACAATTAATTACTAACTCTTTGCCTTGTTTCAGGCGGAATGAGTAGTTTTTATGATAGATAGACTATGTGATAATATGGCTGTCAATATCACTGAATTGGATTTATATATAAACGATGAATTTTCTGTTTCTTAAAGCTTCACCATCGCAACCCAAAATAACTGTCTTCTTGACATATGCTACTGATGAACTGAGAAAGAAAACTGGTGTCACAAACTTATTGGACAACCTCAACAAGAATCACTTCAAGTGCACCTTAGATATGAAGAACAAGTACTTCAAGAGTATTTGTGAAGACAGGGTTGGATGGCTGACCAAACAGTTCAAAAAGGTTACATTCAAACTACTTAATTACTAAACTACTACGGAATTCATTTTCAACAAAGATATTAACAAATATTGAACGTTTGATGATATCGAATGTATACAATATTATTGAAAAGGCCAAGATGATTAATAATAAAAATGTGCATATAGAATGAGGTCATTTGCATCTCTGTAATTCAGAGCCCTTGACCTGCAAGAGTTTACATCCAGCTACTAGCTGCTAAAACGAAATGACTGAATGAGCACAGAATGAACCCACAATTAAATATCTCAATTAAGCATGTAATTTTGTTAAATTCTCATCTACAGTAAATCATTGTAGATTATTACTGTCTGCCTGCCCATTTTGAGCTTACCAACTTGAACGTTTTAGAGGATCCATTCAATCCAGGGTAGTGTTTAAAGTGGGCTGGTAATAGCCATATCTAAACACTGTATGTCCAGGGTGGTGTTTAAGTGGGATTTTGATGGCCATATCTAAACACTGTAGGTCCAGGGTGGTGTTTAAGTGGGATTTTGATGGCCATATCTGAACACTGTAGGTCCAGGGTGGTGTTTAAGTGGGATTTTGATGGCCATATCTAAACACTGTATGTCCAGGGTGGTGTTTAAGTGGGATTTTGATGGCCATATCTAAACACTGTAGGTCCAGCGTGGTGTTTAAGTGGGATTTTGATGGCCATATCTGAACACTGTAGGTCCAGGGTGGTGTTTAAGTGTGATTTTGATGGCCATATCTAAACACTAGGTCCAGGGTGGTGTTTAAGTGGGATTTTGATGGCCATATCTGAACACTGTAGGTCCAGGGTGGTGTTTAAGTGGGATTTTGATGGCCATATCTAAACACTGTATGTCCAGGGTTGTGTTTAAGTGGGATTTTGATGGCCATATCTAAACACTGTAGGTCCAGGGTGGTGTTTAAGTGGGATTTTGATGGCCATATCTAAACACTGTATGTCCAGGGTGGTGTTTAAGTGTGATTTTGATGGCCATATCTAAACACTGTAGGTCCAGGGTGGTGTTTACTTGGGATTTTGATGGCCATATCTAAACAGTGTAGGTCCAGGGTGGTGTTTAGGTGGGATTTTGATGGCCATATCTAAACACTGTAGGTCCAGGGTGGTGTTTAAGTGGGATTTTGATGGCCATATCTAAACACTGTATGTCCAGGGTGATGTTTAAGTGTGATTTTGATGGCCATATCTAAACACTGTAGGTCCAGGGTGGTGTTTACTTGGGATTTTGATGGCCATATCTAAACAGTGTAGGTCCAGGGTGGTGTTTAAGTGTGATTTTGATGGCCATATCTAAACACTGTAGGTCCAGGGTGGTGTTTACTTGGGATTTTGATGGCCATATCTAAACACTGTAGGTCCAGGGTGGTGTTTACTTGGGATTTTGATGGCCATATCTAAACAGTGTAGGTCCAGGGTGGTGTTTAAGTGTGATTTTGATGTTTTTGAAAGCTAATTTGTGTAGCGATATAAACTCATGATATTGCAATGTTTCACAATGTGTGTGTGCGCTTGTTTTGATTATTTCTACAGAGTGATTACATCTTGGTGTGCTGTAGTCCATGTTACACATCTGAAGCTGAAGATACTAATACTGGTGTACATAGTTACAACGATCATAGTTTGAACACCAGGTGAGCAGATTTTAAACCATGTCAGATAGTTCGACAATTTTGTTTTATGCTGTTGTTTACAAAACCCCGGATAAAAATCTTAACACAAAACATGGATCTGACATCCATGAAATTGATGGTTTTGAGCGTTTTTCATATTTGGTCTTCAGTAAACAGATCCATTGCATCTCAGCATGTTGTTTGTACATGGATGTGGTTTGAAGTAACACATTAGAAGCTCCAATAGAAATGATAAACTGAATCATTAAAATATTATTTATTTTGGCCATAGAAACACCTGAGAGCGAAATGTCAAATACGTGACCATCTTGAGTGGCAACCTCTCACTGAAGATTTTATGTGTTATTTCCCATAATAGTGTGCTTCTTGCATCACAATTTTCCACACTTTGCATTGCCTGACTGATTGATTTCAACAATATGGCGTCTACTCGATTTTTTGTTTGCATATCGCATTTCACACTCGGTATTTTATTGTATTTTACTAAATGAGTGATGAAATGAATGTATTTGTCATGTGAGAACTCCTGCGTGTCAATTTCAAACCCATCCTTGTTCATTATACAGAATGGCAGTGAAATTAATATTCTTTCTTAGCTTTGCTGTTCGTTGATCGTCAATCGTCCATCCACCGTCCATCAACAATTTCAATTTTGACTTCTTCTTAAAAACTATCAGCTTCATTGTTTTGATATGTTATATGTAGGTACCATGGCGATATCTTCAATTCTCTATTTTGGGTGAATATTTTTGTCATTTTTGGTAAAAAATGCTATTTTCGACTTCTTCTTGAAAATTACCTGCTAAATTGTTTTGATACTAATAGTATATAGGTACCTCCATCAGATTTGTACATTTCCTGACAATATCTTTAATTCTTTATTTTGAGTAAATATTTTTATCATTTTTAACTTCTTCTTGAAAACTACCAAGTCAATTGTTTTGGTGGAAATCTGTCAGATTTCGGGTCTTGTTTACATTAACTTTTCTACCCAGTAATAGATATTACATAAAACAATTGACATTATTATCATTATAGTGGTTCAGTTCAATACAGAACTTTTAAAAATAGGTCAGAGTTAAAGAGAAATGATGAATAATTAATGCACACATAACTGTACATAAAGCAAAATGAAACTGTATTTATTAATTTTACAGAGTGTTGTTACATTGTATTTTAATTTTAGATTTTGTTCAAAGATATTTTTGCATTTTTGTTCTAAAAACCTATGTAACGGGTATTTATGGTTCTGACATGACTTAATATAGCCAAGTATATGCAATGACATACCATGTTTATATTGTTCCATTTACAGGTACATAGCGTCTCTCATGATGACAGAACACAGAGAAAGGCGCTCTAAATATGCACGTTTTATTCCCGTTGTCATGCCTGGAGCAACTGATATGCATGTCCCCATATGGATGCGTAATACTCTCATCTACCACTGGCCAATTGACTGGTCTGAACTGTTTCGTCGTATGTCACACATTGATAGTCGTCCACGTCAATCGACTCCCCGCAATGCACCGCAGATTTTGCAACACTCGTAGTTCAATGGCAGCGTGGTTGGGTGGAGCTGATGCCTGAAAAACAGTTTATTCCATTGACGTTACCGTAATTGATGCTACAGTACCGTACTTATATCACGAATTGTACTGCTATCACTTGTGTGTATGCGATGAATTTAACATGTAATCACAGTGTGCCATTTACGGCTTTTTAATGGTTCTCGTTTTTGCCATTTTACTGAGGTACAGATGCTTTATCTCAATATATCACTGATGACCATTAATGTGCCTTTTCTCGGATGAGAGAGTTTGAGGGTTCAATTCCCATACTCTTGCAACGATTAACCAAGCAGTGGAACAAAGAAGTCTCATTCTCCCACGTGTTTACTCATGGCTATTCAGTTGATTAACACACACATATATAATTGTGATGATCACGATCGGTTATTATGATACAGCAGCATCTTATATCGATACAATATATTCTATGAAAACAAATTTGAAAGACGACACTGTTGCTAAATGTTCACATTAAGCGAAGTAGTAGCGAAGTAAACATTTGACAGTCAGTATTGGTGAAATTGCCATACATAAAAACCTAAAATCAAGTGTTTTTGTATCTTTACTGTTACTTCAGAAGCATTATATTGTATATCTTATTTGTATTTGTAATGTAACTTGATCTAACCCACGCACTGAGACACTTGCGTCAAAAGTGAACGCAAATATCCCAAGCAAACGTTTGTAAATTGTCAATCTCGTCTATTCATTATTTAGGAATGTGTTCTACAGACTTCACAACCATTGTTTGTATATGTATCAAAAGAATGAATGTAGCAGTCATGCGTCACATGACACACAATGGCTTCAAACACTGGGTATAAATGTGGATGAGGTTAAAGGTTAATTCAGGCACAATTTGGATGTGTATTATAAGCTTTTTACTTGATATATTACATTTATTTCTTGGTCAGTATTTATGTATGTGATTAATTTTAAACAATAATCATGCATTTATGAAAAATTAATTTCCACAGTCATCATGCAGTGGCTTGTTCAATATTAGTAGATTAGTATATGTATTAAAAGCGTATGGTTGTTTGCACGCAGCAACAGGTGATCATTTGCCTGATGTTAGGAAAGAAAATATTCTTCTTGTGCTATGAGTTTTATTCTTCAAAACAATCACAAATATCGGAATTCAGTCAAACTTTGACAAGTGACTCCATCTTGAACAAGTGTATAGCACTGGTGTGTACAGGTGACAGTTATTTTAAACCAAAATCAAGCTTTGAAAATGATGGAACCGGATCTAAGTTGTCATCATTCCAATTATTGACACTTTTACATATTTTGGATATGACGGAACCGTCATGCATGTCATTTTGCTTTTTAGATCAAATTCAAAGTTGCTGAATTTGTCACATACACATACATTTATTTTTTAATACAATTCAAGATGGCTGAATGGTGGCCATTTTAGGGTTAACAATGTCTATACTGCCATTCAGAATCTTGATCGTGGAAGATCAGATTTCATTCGAAATTTCTACGCACATTCGAACTAGCATTGCATGATGACAGTGGCTTTTGTTTTTTTTGTATATAATGTTTTAACTATCGGTACAAACTCAAAAGCAGAATTTTTGCATGAGTACTTAAATCTGTATTTATCATGTCAGACAATTTAGAAAATATGTTTTGAGTGACTTTTTTTTTTTTAATTCAGTTAAAGAATTTACTGTACTGTATGCTTCAAAAGTTAACAACCCCCTTCCGTCTTCTGTAGCAGATCTTCTATATTTACGTTGACAAGTTGAAGAATCTCTCAGATTTTTTGTGCTGATGTTTTGCTAGTTACATCAAATAAATGAAAAAAAAAAAATTAAAAATGGTTGGTACCCAAACTTGTTTCTATAAAAACAATGACTTGTGATTTTCTTACAGGGATAAACCCAGCTGACAGCCATTCTGGATTGGAAAATGAGCAACATTTTATTCTCTATAACTTAAAGCAGGGGGAGTCGTCACCTGCGCATGCGTCAGATGGTCATGGCGTGTCAATGTTTACAAACAAGCATATACCCATGAGCCTTTGCGTTTTTAAGCGTGTGTTGTTATCGTCGCTTGGGACTCAATTCCCGCACATGCGCAGGTGATGACCCTCCCGCTTTAAAACAGTGAATCACAATATGAAATGTGTTAGCTACAATCTTCATAAATCTGTTTCATGTTATTTGAAGTATATAGTGTGTAATTTAGAATGAATCTGCTACAATTGTATTAGGTTTATTCACAGAGGTTTCCCGCTTGTATTACTATTATTATGTTGTGTTTGTTTATATTGAATATATTTTTGTTCCTGTTGTCATTGAGTGTTGTGGTTGAAAAAACTTACAACTCTTTTGTTTTTCTCTTCTATACATGTTAATTCAGATGAAGAATCGATGCCAAGTGTGATTATTCAACATTTAATGATTTGAAAAATGGATCAATGAATCAATCATTTTTTTAAGGCAATTTAGGGTACTTTATACATTCCTATAGCCACATTGAAAGTATATGATATGAGTTGTATAAATCATTACAGATTTAAGAACAATTTGGTTTGTCTTTTTCTCAAACTCAATATTCTGATACAATTTACTCAAAAATAATAATGCTTGAAATTCAAAAAAAAAAATCATAATTTTTAAACCATGTAACACTGAGTCAGAATGTGGCAACAAATGAACTCTTAAAGTTAGAATGTTGGGATATTTATATTTTCCATATGCAAACAACACATTAATAAATTTATGATTGATCAGTCATAAATATATGCCATGTTATGTTTCTAGTTTTTAATTTGGTTCATTCTTTATGGATTAGGAAATATGAAAAAAAAATTGTGAAAAACACATTAGTGGTGTTCACATTACAGATCTCGTCATGCGCAGAGTGTTAGGTCGAGTCAGCTCATGCCAAAACATGTGTGAACAGTTGGGACTGAGGGGCATATGCCAAAAAAAAACTTGGTTCCAATAGCCGACGTGGGTCCTGTCTAACGCGTATACACAACTGTTGTAATCCCTCTACAAACATGAAAGATTGAAAATTTCGGCACAGGCCGAGATAACATGACCATAACACAAACGTAGGTATCGAGCGACATACAAATTTAATGACTGTTACCAGAGGCTAAAAACACAAAATGTCCAAGGCAATAAATACACTGGCAGTATCGATATTCATCAAATGACCATGTGATCACTTTTGACAAATAACCTTAACATCGTGTTTGAAACATAATTAATAGAATCAATTATGTAATCTCTTGACTTTTGAGAGACATACGGCCTTGACCTGACATGTATATTTCCGTTCAGTGCATAAATCAGACATGTGAACTTTGTGAACTTATATTGTGCAAGAAAGAGGAAGACAACTGTTACAATAGATTCAAAACTAAACTGTGACCCAGTTTTCAAAAACCTTGAAACGATAACATACTTTTTGGTTGTATTTTGTTTTGTACTATCAGGTACTACCACATTTGCCTTATTAAAAGAACCAACAATACCATGACCATATACATGCTTTGGTCATTTACATAACAAATGCACTACTAATAAAGCAATTAGGATATTAATAATATAATGAAAACAAATGACCTTTTGTTAATATTATAACAATATTTCTGATATATATATATATATATATCTGTTTAATTCGTTTAAAAGATTCCTCTCATTAGTAAATAGCGCCCTCACTCCACAATATTTAGAATGAGTGGTTGGTCAAAAGTTTGATGAGTCAGGTGCATCTATTGGCTAAGCTTGTTGTACATAGATGCAAATGAGTATAGGAACCATTAATGCTGTAGGGTGTACTGGGAGGGGTGGAGGATTTCATGTTTGTAATGACTGATTGTAATGTGGTATCTCGTTGTTTTCAAGATGCAGCCTGATATTTGTTGCTTTCTTGGTTGTTCAATTGTGGCTAAAATTTGTGTGGTGGGTGGAAGATGTGTTTATTGTTTGTTGAGTCATTGTTTAGACACCCTGCAGCTTGAAATGGTATGGTCCAAATCCAAATTCGATATGGTGGTGTTGAATATCTGTGCGATATGGCAGTGTCATCTAAAAACCACGCATCAAAATGATTTCTGTTTATTTATTTACTGTTGTAGATCCTGAGAACTAGCCATTGAATATGATGTCGGGAATAAATGGTTTTCTGAACAAGCTTTATTAATTATTGCTGGCAATATTCCAGTATGAATTGGGAGCAAACTGTGACACCAAATCTAGTCGTTGTATTGTTATGCTTCTAAAATATTTTTTTTTTAAATAAAATAAATTAAATAGAAATATTATATGTATTTTTGTATGTGGAAACATGGCTTTCCCACTAAAAAATATAAAGAAGTGTGGTCTGCAGTTCTTTTTTTTTTACTTTTTTATTTGAGAAAAAAACTGGAGTGTAAACAATAAAACACTCACAGTGCAAGGCCAGTTCACCAACATGTCTATTCTCTTGCTTGAGTGTGAAAGTACATGATTTAGTGACTACCTCTTATATTTTTAAATTTTAGAATTTTTTTTTTTTAGAATCTTTTTAGAATTTTTTAGAATTTTTTTTTATTTGGGAAGGTTCTTCTATAAAAATAGAACAGATATGTATATATATATATACTTTTTGTCGTAATCTTTTTTTGTAATTAAAAAAAAAATGTGTTGTATTATATTGTCCAATTTCACTGTCTTCTTAGGTTTTGTGATTGTATTTTCAAGCATAAATTTGTTGACTACTGTGTGTGAAGCTTCAGTGTACACGGCAATGTCAATGTACTGACTGGATCCTATCCAGCCCTAAAATGATGCAAAACCATGGCTAACATGTACCATATGGTACGTGATCTTTTTTTTTTAAAGTCTTCTGATTTTAGTGTTTTTATTAAATTTTACCCTTCTAATCTTACAAGTCATTTATGTACTTGTTCTATTTGTATAAATAATGCTGCTCTTTGGGGACGTAATGAGAGTTAAATCGAGTATATG